GACATCAAGACCATCTTTCTCTCCTGGACCTTGACCTAGTAGTTCTCCACTGGCTGGGTAGCTCTCTGACAGTTTAAATACGTGTCTGTATTTCTTCCAGCTTTTGTTTTCCCTCAGAGCGGGTGTTTGTCCAATGGACAGAGTCTGTAACTTCTGGAAGCCCCCCCCCCGCCCACCAAATGACTGTAGGGGGAGCTCCAATCACTGAGTCAAGGCTTGTAACGACTATACTCTTCATTGTTCATTTTGACATTATTCTGCTAACATGTGTCCACTGTCTCAGTTTCCATGTGTATTGATATAAAGTTAACATTCTAAAACCAAAAAATCTCTGCTGTTTATACTTTTGTCCTCTTGGCCATTCCTAAAACTGTTTCTTTGTGACCTTTCCCCTCTGAATCATTTGGTTTTGTTGTTCCTATTGTTTTTCTAGGTCCTTTGAGTTTATTCGGGTTTTTCTAACTTAAGTTGTATGTTAGTCTTTTCTGATTTCAAATACCAGTTTTTTATCCGACCTATTGCTTAGAAATAGAAACGTTTTCTGAGTTTGGAACCTCCCGTGATCCTCCGGGCTGCCGCCGTCTGACAGCTGCACTGGTTAGGTGACGTGCTGGCTCCAGCACACCGACGCGCGGCAGTGTGAGGAGGGGTGTTTCCCACAGCGGGGGTCTGTGCGCGCCAACTTTCCCTTCGTGTTTAAAAGAATGTGCATTCTTCCCTGGCTGGTGCGGCTCAGTGGATCGAGCGCGGGCCTGTGAACCAAATGGTAGCTGGTTCGATTCCCAGTCAGAGCACATGCCTGGGTTGCGGGCCGGGTCCCCTGTAGGGGGTGCAAGAGGCAACCAACTGATTGATGTCTCCCTCTCCCTCCCTTTCCCTCTCTAAGAATAAATAAATAAAATCTCAAAAAATGCATTCTTATTTTGTTCATCAGATCAAGTTTGATTTTGTATTGAGACTTTAGGTCTTTAATGGATTTTTTAAACTGCTTTGTATATATTAACCATGATGGTGACACTGATTTCTCTGTGTAGTTCTCTCCACTTCTGCTTCGGATGTTTTGAACTTATCGTACTGAGGACATATAAGCTTGAACAACAAATCCAACCCCGCATCATTGTGTAGCAATCTTTGTTCAAACAGGGAGTGTGACTAGAACACAAGCACAGCTAAAGGGGCTTCCTTTCGCTTTTCTCCAATATCTCCTGGCTCTCAAGACTTCTGTGTCCTTGTTTCAGCTGCATTTCTTTAAGAAGCACACAGTGGATTGTTAAAAATCTAGTCTGATGACCCAAGATTTTTCTCAAGAGCTCAATCCAATTTACAACTGGAATTATCACTACCATATTATTTAGTGCTTAAATATCCAGCCGCTTTCTCTCCTGTGTCTTTGGGCTTTAAATTTTCCCCCTTGCCAACCAAACATACACTGCTGACACATGCGTTAAATGTGTTTCCTTAAAGGCAGCTCTTCAAATTCAGTTCGTACTTAATTATGTCTAAAGTTGGTCCGTATCTTTACTCTCCTTCAGAATAAAACAGGATCTTAAGACTAATTATCATGTTAATTGACAACCTTACGAGGTCTTTCCGGAAGGTATCCAGCCATGTAACATGAAAAAGACATTTATTGAAGATGATACAAGAAACATTGCACACAGGACAATGACATCTCAGTTCCCTTCACAGTAGGCACCTTGGGGACCTCACACAGTTCCCCCAGTCACCATCAGCTGCCCGATTGTATTTTCCTGAATCTCATCAATGGTCTGAAATCGCTCCCCTTTCACAGGTGATCTTAGTTTTGAAAAAAGCCAGTAGTCGTGGGGTGCCAAACCTGGGCTGCAGCGGGGCCGAGTCACCTGGAGCACTGACCTTTGCTGACTGCAGCCCATACACGTTCGACAGTCTCAGGGGCTCTGCTTGCTGCAGGCCTTCCAGAACGAGGGTCAGTGCCGACAGATTCCTGACCGTCTCTACAGCGTCCGTGCCGCACTTTCACATAGGCGGCACTCACCGCACCGTCCCTGAAACTCTTCTAAACCATCCAAATACTTTCAGCAGAGGAATGTTCAAGCTTAATGCCAGATTTGAGGCAGATTCATTGCTCTACTCGCTCAGTCATTATGAATGTCATGGCCACACAGTACACGGCGCTCACTCAACAGCATCTACCACCCCCACTGACTAGTGCAGTGAAGGCGTCATGGTTCGCGCATGCGCATTCCAGCCCACGCGCCTCGGCTGCCAGGCTACACGGATGTCGTGCAAACCGCTCTCATTACATTAACCATGGCGGGACTTTTCCCGGGAAGACCTTGTATATGCACTGGGCGGACAGGCAACAGGTTCCCTAGAATTTTTACTTTTTGTTGTCTTTTCCTCCAGCATGTTAGACACTATTGTTTTACATGATGATATTTCTTCAGATTCACTCAAGTGCTTTCTGTTTTCTTTACTCATGACTGCTTCTCACATCTCAGACTTTCTGGGGCAACTGTCCTCTTCTTTGAACTGTATCTTTTAGCAGCTCCCTTAAATGAGGCAATTTTGGTGATAAATTCTCCATTTTTTCCCCCCATCTGAAAACGTCTTTCTCTCACCCTTATTCTTAGATAATCCACGTGGCACAAATGGTCTGAATAAAAATTGTTTGAATATTACTAATATAGCATCTGATGGTTGAAACCTGAAAATGTATACACACGGAGGAAGGGATTAGCTAAGTACTATCTCAATGTTGTGTAGCATCACCCAGATGAACATCTGAAATATCCTCGGTCTGCATTTCTTTCTTCTGTCCTCAAAATTATCCTGAGTTCACCTTTAAGTATTTTATGATACCCATTTTTCCTTTTTTATATGCAAATGGGTTACATTTTCTAAGATTTGTAATCACTCGCTCTCATTATTCTTCTGACTCTATCCAGCATGCCTGTATCTGCTCCGACATAACATAGGATGTGTGACTTCAATCTCTTTCTTGTTAAGCCTGATTCTTTTTATAGTTATTAGAACTTTCGTAGTGTTCAAGAAATCCCATTGGTATAACTTTTAGCTTAAAAGAATTTTTTGTTAACCAGGATTCTTAATTCCTTCCAGTATGTTGGATAACAAATCTTCTAAAGATAACGAAGCCTTTGGTCTGACACATTCATATATAATTGATAATTTAAGTTAATATAAAAGTTCATTATTTTTTAATCACGTTCCCAAAGCGTAAGTTATAAATCTGTGAGTAACAGTTCATTAAATTAACACTTCATTTATGCAGAGGGGAAGTGAAAACCCTGTCCCAGTCAGGGCTGGGACGCTGCTAGGAGCTGCTACATTTGCACTGGCGTCTGGACAGCCCATGCTGTCCAGGGCAGAGCTTGCTAGGGAAGGTAATGCAACTGGCATCTCTTCTCTTAGCGGCTGAGAGAAGCAGCAGTCTATGCCTGGCTGGGGTGGCTCAGTGGACTGAGTGTCAGCCTGCGAACCAAAGGGTCGCTGGTTTGATTCCCAGCCAGGGCACACGCCTGGGTTGTGGGCCAGGTCCCTAATAAAGGGCACATGAGAGGCAACCACACACGGATGTTTCTCTCCCCCTCTTTCTCCCTCGCACCTCTTCTCCCTAAAAATAAATAAAATCTGTAAAAAAAAAAAAAAGTAGCAGTCTAGAACAGAGCAACAGATTCTCAATCTTCATGATCACACACCCTTATCAGGACTTGGAAAAACAGGTAGATTCCCCCTGAAATACAAAGATTTACAAATCGCTTCTGTGTGACATGTCGTGTGCACAACACAATACACAACAATAGGACTTGGAAAAGGATGAACTGTAGGTTAAAATATGTGATATTAAAAAAAAATATGTGATATTTTAAAGTACTTGAGATGCTGTGAATGGCAAAGCAACACTCACTGCGGGCAGACAGGGGCGTGGAAGTGACCCCACGCCGCCGCACTGATTACCCCTCAGAGCGCCGTCGCTCTACTGCCACGGTGTGGCTCCAGGGCGGATGTGGGCCTGGAAGGACTGCGAGGCTGCCACTCCTTAGGGAGCCAGCCCCGGGGGCCCCGTGACCGAGTGGGGGGGTGGGAGGGAAGGACGAGGCAGTGAACAGTGCTAATGAACGGGTTACTGCTTCAAGCAACTGGCATGCGTCCTACCGGGGCCGCTCGGGGGGGAACAGCACAGTGCCCTCTCCACCAGGGGCATGTATTTATAGACCATAACCTGAGCCTGGCCCGGCCCGCCTGCAGCTCAGCAGGCTCTGGCATCCAAAAGCCACCTGCAGAAGCCCCCAGGCCCTGCCTGGCCAGTGTGGCTCAGTTGGTTGGAGCGCTGTCCTGTAACTGAAAGGTCAGGGGTGCCATCCCTGGTCAGGACACATACCCAGGCTGCAGGTTCGATCCCCAGTAGGGGTGCGTACAGGAGGCGACCAGTGTTTCTTTCTCATACTGATGTTTCTCTCTCCCTTTCTCTCTCTAAAGGCAATGAAAAAAATGTCCTCAGGTTAGGAGAAGGAAGAAGATGGAGGTGGAGGAGGTGGGAGGCAGGAGGAACAAGGAGAAGGAAGGAGGAGGAGGGAAGAGGAGGAGGAAGGAGGAGGAGGAGGAAGGAGGAGGAGGAAGGAGGAGGAGGAGGGAGGAGGAGGAGGGAGGAGGGAGGAGGGAGGGAGGAGGGAGGAAGGAGGAGGAGGAAGGAGGAAGTGGGAGGAGGAGGGAGAAGGAGGAAGGAGGAAGGAGGAGGTGGGAGGCAGGAGGGAGGAGGAAGTGGGAGGAGGAGGGAAGAGGGAGAAGGAGGAGGAGGAGAAGGAAGGAGGAAGTGGAAGGAGGAGGGAGGAGGAGGAAGGAGGAGGCGGGAGGAAGGAGAAGGAGAGAGGAGGAGGGAGGAAGGAGAAGGAGGAGGTGGGAGGCAGGAGGAACAAGGAGAAGGAAGGAGGAAGTGGGAGGAGGAGGGAGAAGGAGGAAGGAGAAGGAGGAGGAGGAGGAGGCAGGAGGCAGGAGGCAGGAGGCAGGAGGAAGGAGGAGAAGTCTCGTCCCGGGGCTCTGCAAGCTGCAGGTGAGTCGGAGGAGGCGCAGGGCACGCGGCGGGCACAGACAGAGACGCAGCCTCGCCGGGCCTGCGTTAGGAGAACTGTTAGCCTCAGGCTTGGCCTCTCTGCAGCGTTCTTTTTTAATCTCTGTGAGACGAGCGAAGTCAGAGCTGACAGTTTTAACTAAGCAGGGACCACACCAGTGAGTGCCCCCACGAGAACCACTGCCATTTCCTTCTCCTCTCCCCAAGGACACCTCAGACATGTACGTGACTTAAGACCACCTGACGTAGAGACTGCATGAGTGCCAGGATCCGTCTATCAAACATTGAAACCATTTCATTTCTGCTTGCATGAAAAACCTGCCCTGCCCTGCTACAACGCGTCGCCTTCTGGGCCCCTTGAGGCGTGAGCTCCCCGTCCAGCCGTCCCGGGGCCAGAGCACACAGTCTCGCTGGGCTGGCCACAGATACGACCCAAGCCATTCCAGGGCGTACGGGAGCGTTATAAACACCGGCGGGTACGCAAACACTAGTGACGCACAGTTCTAGCACAGTTTCAACACTCGTCTGTCACTTAACAAGCCGGAGATAAAAACTGCAAAACACTCTTCACGGAATTCCTTGGGCGGTTATCTTATGTCCTGTGTCCTGTGTTTAAGGAATGACACAGACGCCCAGCCATAATACGACACCATCTCGGAATTCGGCGTAAGGAGCCCGGGTTAAAATGCCCCGACTTTCCATCGCTCTTGGTGGGAAAGGCAGGTGGGTGGCTGGTTTCCATCGCGTTTCCAGGAAGGCCGTGTCTACAGAAGCATCTTCTAAAGGCACAGCGTCCGGAAAGAGTTACATGTCAGAAAATAGAAATGCAACCTTTCCGGAACACATCACTGAGTTCCAAAAATGTGACACCAAGTTAAAAAAAAGTCCATTTTATTTAGGCTAAAATGAGCATAGGATTTATTTAGTTTAAAGCAAGCCTAACATATGGTTTAATTGTCAGTATCGCTTTGATGGATCTCCAGCAACCCGGGAGCAGAATACTCTAAGGTGTCGGTCGCCATGCTGGGGTAAGAAACCCACTCCGTGCAGAAACACTGGTGATTCCCTTGGAGTTCACAACTTCAGAACTGAGCCACTGTAGCCTATTGATGACTTTTTAAAACTTGCATAATGTCCTGCAAGACTATTTCGACCCATATCAACAAAACTCAACCCCACTTTCTCCGATAGTAAAAAAGTGCTTCTTCACACTGTTACTCTTTAAATGACGTGAAAGCAAAGAAAACTGGTTGGTGGCTTTGGCGCCATCTTTGGAGAAGAAGACCCTGCGCGTCACCAGCCGCCGCCACGCCTCGCAGAGGTAGGGCCGGTAGTCCACGCCGGCGTCCGCGTCCCCCGGGCGGCGGGAGGCCGAGGACGGGCCCTCGCCGGAGTCCGAGGCTTTCTGCATTAAACTCTGTGTGGTGGCCAGGAGCACCAAGCGGTACTGCTGGACCAGCTTCTCCAGGACCTGAGAACACCTCTTCAGAGGGGCCTCCTGCAGGCCCACGCTGTCCCCGCCGTTGGCCCGGTCCACCCAGTAGAAAGCCGACAAGCTGTCCACAACCAGGAGGCAGAGGGCGGGGCGGCCGCAGAACAGCGTCTCCAGGGAGTGCAGCGTGAGCAGCAGCTGCGGGCTGCTGCCGCAGTGCACCAGGAACAGCCTTCCGAGGCAGCGCTTGACTGTCTCCTCCGAACTCTGCGCCAGCCTGTGCTCCAGAATCGTAACGAGCCGAAGCAGATCGAAGTGGTAATCGGTGTCAATGAACATGACTTCTGTTTCCAGGCCGCCGTCCGCTTTTGGGAGTATGCACCGTGCTGTTACGTGATACAGCATCTCTGTCTTTCCTGTTCCTTCTGGACCATGAAATTCAAGAATATCACCTGCGTAAAATTTAAAAACGTCGGTCAAAATGCTGCAGCACAGTAAGGGTATAAATGAAAAGTCTGCAAAAATGTTTTAAGAGACATTCACTGGAATGTAGAAGAAAATCTAGACCGTTTGCCAAAACAGGTCTGTGCGAACAACTAACTGCAAGTCGGTCAGACATTGAATGCAGAACGACAGGCGGACCGCAGTTCGGGGACTCTCCCGGGGAGCTGGCACACACGCACGCACGCGCACGCACACACACGCGCACACGAACTGGTGGTGCAGAGAGTAAAGCGCCAGACCTGGGGCCTCCCCAAAACGCTGCTGCTTACTACGGACGTGCTATTTCTAGTGACGAATCACCCAGTGTCCTTTCTCTCCTCCTCCTTTAAATACAAAAGCCCCAGTTGGGGAAGGCCACGTGCGTGCCCACTTAAAAACTATCTTTCTTCGTCTCCCTTGCAGAGGGGGTCGCGGGTGCCTGGGCTGCAGCCAGCGAGGCACGCGGAGGCATCTGCTTGGACTCCCAAGCCCCGCCCTCCGGGTGCAGGCGCCCAGTCTGCCCTCCGGAGGGGGAGGGGAAGCAGCCCGCTGGGAGTGGGGAGGAGGGGAGGCGCCGAGGCCCGGGGCCACAGCCTGCCTGCCCCCACTCCTGATGTGAGGACAACAGGCCTCTGTCTGGTGGGCCACTAGGCCGAACGTCCGTTACAAGCAGCTGAAACAGCCCTAACTGGGGTTTCTCCACGTTCCGGGCACTGCAGGTGGAGCTAGCCTTGACCGCGCCCTTGCACTCCTGCAGGCCGGCGGGCGAGGGCCCGCAGCTCCCGGGCCTTCAAGGCCAACCGCGCCCTCCACCGAAGACGCGCCTCCCGCGGCCCGCGGGCCTCCCTCGCTGCGGGACTCTCAGGGAACTGGGTCCGCTCGGAACGGCGCCTGCGCCTGCGCGGTAGGTGACTCTCCTACCGTCGTAAATCCCAGTCCTACCGTCGTAAATCCCAGTCCTACCGTCGTAAATCCCAGTCCGCTGCCCTGAACGTGGAAGAGCCAGCCGAGTCTTTCTAGGCAAGTCCCAGGAACCCCCTGTCACCGCGGACGGCACGAAGTAAGTAAAACACCCGGGCACGCGGTCCCGCCTCCAGAGCGCTCCTGAACCCGCTCGGAACTGGGACCTTCCGATTCCTGCCACGACTAGAACCGGACAAAAGTACCGTCATCCAATCTACAGCTGAAGTGCAGAACGGAAAACACTGCGTTGAAATGCAGATTCTTAGGCCCCAAACACATACTTTGCGAATCCAGTTACTTTATCTCTTGTTATGACTAATAAACCATTATGTGTTGGAACAGTCACAAAAGATGTGTAAGAAATTTAGCAAGTTGCTACCATACTATATTTAAGGTAATAGAAAGTGTCAGCCAATTTCTTCAACAATCTTAAATATAAGTTACTATTCAAAATTTACGTTACAAAGGTCTCCCTCCAAAGACTCCAGCCTCAAGGAGTGAAACTATTTTCACATCAACAGTTGCTCGTGGCTGCTCGTGTGAGACGTTCTCCCGGTGAGTGACTAAACCTGTATCCACCCCCGATGTCGGGTTTACTCTCCTCCAGCCGCGGCCCTGGGGCCGACGCTGCCCCACCTGAAAGCCCTCCGCGGCCGTGCAGCACAGGAGAGCGCACGGCACGCGCCGGAGGGAGAGACGCTGCCGCTGACGGCGGCTCGGCTCGCGGGACACAGAAAGACGGCGAGCACAGTGCGCGCCCTGCACCAGAGCCCGGCCCTGCTCCCCCACTCCCACCCCGCCCCCAGAGCAGAAGGCAGCCGCGGACGAGCAGCAGTGGGCCTTCCCAGAGCGCTCCACAAATGACACGCACTCTTCATGACGTCGCCTGGGCTCCAACACCACCACCAAGGCAGGAAGAGCGAACTTCATCATCTCCCATGATCGTGTTCAGTGTGTTGTATACAAGGAGAGGCCCCCCACAAAACAGGGACTACCTCCTGGGGGGAGGGCCCCTTGTAGGACAGGCTTCCCCTGCTGGGTGAGTGTTCTAGGAACCCATCTGTGCCGATGAACCAGCTGGCGTTGTTGTGAGAGGCTGTGTGCGGCTTCAGTGAATTTTTTTGAGACTCTTTCAACACATCTGCCCACTGCAGATGTGTTGCCCACTGCATGACGGGTGACTTACCAATGCACCTGTCCACGCCACACTCAGTGTTCAGCAGATCAAGACCAGAAGCGGCAGGGCCCCATGCCCCACCCTCCTTATTGACCTGATCTCACCCCGAGTGATCTGTTTCCATGGATGAAAAAAGCCCTCAAAAGGAAACGTTTTGCCTTTGTGGAAGAAGTGAAACAAAAAAGCAGAAGCACCAAAAAGCATCAAAATCGACAAGTGCAAAAACTTCTCAGCAGAGGAAAAAAAAAGTTTCGACGAGTGTATTGCATCAAATGGAGAGTACTTTGAAGGTGACTGAAGTTTAAACATGAAAGAATAAATACACATTTGTTTATAAATAAATTCTGTTTTTGGGGGGGTTGGCTACTTTATAAGGTTGGGACTTGAATATTCTATCCCCAACATAAAACGCTGTCTCTTTTTTATCAGATGACTTTCTAAGAACTTCTTCTTTTTTCTTTTTTAAGTTTTATTTATTTATTTTTAGAGAGGGGGAAGGGAGGGAGAAAGAGAGGGAGAAAAACATCAATGTGTGGTTGCCTTTTGAGCGCCCCCTACTGGGGACCTGGCCTGCAACCCGGGCATGTGGTTTGCAGGCTGGCATTCAATCCACTGAGCCACACCAGCTAGGGCAAGACGGGGGTGGTTTTCATAACACCTTTCGGCATAACTTGAGACAGTAAGAGGTCTTTTAGAGAGCTTCCCTACATGGCTTGACAAGGCTTCCTAAATCCACACATCAATTAAAAACCAGCTGATGTAGTATATGCTTTCCTTAGCTCCTTGGTTTGGCACAAGTAAAACTGAGGCTAAGTTGAAGGTTAAGTCCTTGGTTAAGAGGTTATTAGGGCCCTGGCTAGCGTGGCTCAGTGGACTGAGGGGCAGCCTGCAAAGCAGAAGACTGCTGGTTTGAGTTCCAGCCAGGGCACACGCCTGGGTTGTGGGCCAGGTTGGGGGTGTGCAAGAAGCAACCAATAATACATTTCTCTACCTCTCTTTCTCCCTCCCTTCCTCTCTCTCTAAAAATGAGTAAATAAAATGAGTATATAAAAAAGTAAAACCTTTTTTAAAAAGAGGTTATTAGGTATATAAAAAGACACTCTTCTTCTACAGATTAATAGCAAAGCAGATAAAAAGGTCATTTATAAAAACTGGGGAAGTAAAATCTGCAAACTTGCAAATTACATGAGTATTATCATTAATGTCCCTGAACTAGATGAGCTGAAATCAGTCTCACTGTTTTTATAAACATTTACTATCTAATCCTAAGATCAAAAATCGTTTCAAACAGTGTGTTCTACGGAGGGGACACAGGCCTTTCAAATGTGTGCGAAGTCGCCCGCTCACGTGTGAGCTGCGACCAAAATAGGGCACCCTTGTCCAGTGCAAGCACCGAGGCTGACAGTTTGTAGTAAACAACAAACAACAACAAAACCCAACCCCCCCCCCACACACACACACACAAAACCTGTGCCGTTTGGCACTTGGAAAATTAAACGAAATCAGAAAATCTGGATGGGTTGGCCTCGACTGTTCCTCTCACAGACAGAATGCTGTAGAGAGGGTTTGGGTAACAGATTGTCAGAGTGAGTTGATGCATCTAAAGATCCTTCTGTCTTAAGGAAATGGAAAAAACAGCCTAAAAATACATCATCGTGGTGCCGAACTACTAATGGTATAACAAATATGTTGGGTTTGCAGATTGTAACCAGTCTAGTACCGAAGAGGTAATAAATCGGAATGTGGCACCAAGTCACCATTCTCCGAAGACAGCACTGAAAATGCGCCCACAGCAGCTTTCGAGTCTCCGGTGACCCTGCGTCCCGCATCGCCTGCACCCCAGCTTCCCTGGAACCACAGTTTCTGGCACGGCGCTGCTGCTGAAAAGCAGTCTTCATCACCCCCTCTGTCGGCTACTGCTCCCACCAGTGCTCATCGGACCAGCCCAACAGCCTGCAGATGTGCGACCGTTTTGAGTAAACTTCGTTATTGCCTGAACGAGACGGTGTTTTACAGGTTACTACAGCCCTGGCCGGGCGGCTCAGCAGGTTGGAGAATCCTCCTGCATACCAGAAAGTTGTGGGTTCGATCCCTGGTTGGGGTGTGTACAGGAGGCAACCGAAAGATGTTTCTCTCTCCCCCACCCCTTCCTCTCTCTCTAAAAATCAATGAACATATCCTCGGATGGGGATTAAAAAAATTAAGATAAAAATAAAAGCTCCTATAAATGTAATATTTGAATGTATAAACTGAGCCGCAAATCCATGTTTCAATGCCAATTTCATAAGGTTAAATTTACCCTTTCCTTTTGTCTAGCAGGTTTCATCAAAATCTGTCTTTTGTTGTTGACAGTTTAGAATTTTACTTGCTCGCAGATCTGCTCTACAAGAAATCTTAGAAGGAACCCTTTGGACCGAATGAAAGGACAGTACACAGTAACTTGATCCAACTTAGTTAAGGAAGAGCACAGTAAATGCAACAACCACGTAAGCAAATAGGAAAAACAGCATAAATGTGGTTTACATTTGTAATTTTTTTCATATATCTGATTTGAGAAAATTCCAATTATGTTAATAATTTTAAATGCTTATGGGCATGCAACACAGAAATGTATAATCTGTAACAGCACAAAGGAATGGAGATGCAGCAGGGCAGTTTTTATACGATACTGAAATCAAGATGGTTTTAATCCAAATTAAATTGCTGTACATTAAGATGTTAATGGTAATCATCACGAAAACTAATGGTAAAATAACATTTTTAATTTTTAGAAGACTTTACTTATTTATTTTTGAGAGAGGGGAAGGGAGAGAAAAGGAGAGGGAGAGAAACACTGACTGGCTGCCTCCTGTGCACGCCCCAGTCAGGGACGGGACCTGCACCCCAGGCCTGTGCCCCGACCAGGAACTGAACCGGCGACCTTTGGCTTTGCGGTATGACACCCAGCCACTGAGCCACACTGGCTAGTTTTTTTAAAAAGTGAAAATAATGTTCAGGACCTATACCGGCACGCTGGAAAACACCCACTAAACACCAAAGACCGTGAAGGAGGACTAGGGAAACGAGAACACGGCAGACAGAGCACAGCAAAACGGGGGCCACAGCCCCACCCAACCGGTAAACCCGCCGTCTATAAACGGTTCAAACGGCCCGACCAAGGGCAGAGACGTGCAGAATGGATGGAGTGAGAAGTGTGGGGACAGGCCGTCCACGGCGGGCACGCCTCACATCCCCAGCTGCAAGCACGTCGATAGTAAAAGCACGGAAAGACATTCTGTGCACACCGCCAAAGGAAAGCCGAGGGGCTATTCTATTATTGGTCAAAACCTGCGGTTAGAGACTGGGACGGACGTGGCTTTGTGTTGTGGGAGGAGACCGTGAGCCGTTCCCGCTGCCAGCCACAGGGCTGAGTGCCCACGTCTCCGTGAACCGGCCTCCGGAGC